CCTCCAACTGTTTATTCTTGAAGTGCAGTGCCCAATCCGGACACTGTGTTCCATTTGAAACCCTTCCAACACTGAGACATCTTGCATGTTCTCCTGTTTAGTTACCCCAGTAAAACATTAGTATTTTCAGAACAGCGGGACATTGGTGACTGATGTCCAAATCATGATTCACAATAAGCTCCACAAAGTTTTTCAAGGAACTACCAAAACTGCAAAAAACATCTTAATATTTATAAAGGTGTTCTTCCTGCCTAAGTGTACTTCTCTGCACTTGGCTCAGTTACAAACCATGCTGCTCTTAGTAGAACACTTCTTCAACCTGTCAGCAAATTCTGAATTCTAGCCTTGTCTCCCAGCATTTTAGCAGTCCTTCCCATCTTCATGTCATCTAAAAATTCAACACTCATACTCTATCCCACCACTGGGGTCATTAATGGCAACAATGATGAAAACCAGACCAACCCTTCCCACACTTCAATATATCTTTCCATTAGAAAGACGACCCATTGTTAACTGCTATTTGGTACAGAAATCCAGGCAGTTTTGCATAGATTCCATCGTGGTTTCACTGAAGACATGTTTCCCTTGATTGTTTATGAAACTGTCATATGTTAATGTTGAGAACATCACTAGGAGTCAAGCTGTTTGGCCTCTGTTGTGCCTTCCCTAGCTACAAGCCTTGATACTCAGTTGTAGAAAGACATTTTCAAGTTTTTAAGTCACACTGGTTGTTACTGAACTCCTTGGTCTCCCTCAGGAGCTTACACATAATTTGTTTGTTCCAACTTTCAAAGAACAAAATAATTTTCCGGTAATTCTCTTTTAGCTCTTTATATCCTGCTTTTTCTTTCCCACTCCTCCAGCACATAACCTGTCTTCCCTGAGTTCTCAGAAGTAACTCCAAAGGTTTCTAAGATGACTTTATCCAGTTCCTTAAGTAACTTAGAATTAAGTTCATCAGGCACAGCTGATTTGAAAATATGAAATATGTCTGAATACATTCTAACCTGTTCTTGCCTTTTTTTAGCTTGCGATTTCACCCTCTGTCATAATACCATAAGTGTGTGTGAGGATGCATCTTCTATGACTCAAATGCATAAGTGAGAGCAGTTCTGATCCCTGAGTTACAATGCAGTATAATTTCTTGTCCTTATACCAAACTGTAGATTCCTTTAAACCATAAACCTCATCATACCTTCGTTCATTGTCATCAAGATGAGCAAAGAGCACGTTCTTGGAGATGGCCTTTGCCAGAGCAGTCATAGTTTTATAGTCCTTTGGAATAACCTGTAGAGAAAAGAATGAAGGGTAATTACATGCCTGGTTATATTTCTTTATAGATCTTGAAATCTACAGAAAATTCCACTATTCAAGATAATGGATGCAAATTGATTTCAAACAATGAGACAGGCTTAGGCTATAATATAAAGCCACTAAGAAAGTAATAAATTACAGTTTTGATAATGTGAGGATAAGAATTTATGTTCTCAATGTGAGAGCCAAAAAAGAAATGTAAGATCCGGGATGAGAGGGGAGAAAGATATCCATAAAATACTATAATTAGCAGGTACTGACAGCTGTGTAGTCTCCTTTCAAATCTCTTGGACTGAGGAAAACATATTTCATATTCTTTTTTCCCCACAAACAATATCAGAAGCAACCTACTTTAAAAACTAGGGAATGAGCAACATTTCTTTAGATGAAAGGTAAAAGTGTGTTGATTACACCACACTTTTCAGTACTGGTTGTTGTATAAGGAACCAAGTTCCTGCTAGGCCCACATGGGTCAAAATCCTGTGCCTTTGCTTCATGGCAAATGAGGACTTGCATTTGAGAATGAAGAGGCATTTTCATTTGTTAATTAGAAAGATGGCAAAAGTCCTGTTGTACATGAATTTGTACAAAATATATGCTGAAATTCAGGAGTGTGTTTTCAGCCGTCCAGTATCTGAAGGGGCCTATAAGGATGTTGGGGATGGACTCTTCATTAGGGACTGTAGTGGTAGGACAAGGGGTAATGGCTTCAAACTTAAACAGAGGAAGTTGAGATTAGATATAATCTCTTTACAATCTTCTTTACAGAGAGGGTGGTGAGACACTGGAATAGGTTGCCCAAGGAAGTTGTGAATGCTCCATCCCTGGCAGTGTTCAAGGCCAGGCTGGACAGAGCCTTGGGCGACATAGTTTAGTGTGTGGTGTCCCTGCTCATGGTAGGGGGGTTGGAACTAGATGATCTTAAGGTCCTTTCCAACCCTACCTATTCTATGATTCTATATTGGGTGAAGTGTTTTATAAGACTTTTGCAGGTTAGGCTTTCCATTTTGGTACACACTTTGGTAAGACATTAGTAAAGACACTGTATCTCTTTATTTGCCAAGCATTTCCTTCTGCCAGCCACAGACTTTCTGATTATGAGAGATACAAGAAATCTGTAACAAGGTAATATCTTGTAGGACACCTACAAATTTAGTAATGTGATTTTTCTTAATAGTTTCATTACAACAGGACAGCATCAAGCCTAGCAGAAGTTTCAAGTGTTAAATAAACCTTACTCCAATCCGAAAATCACTATCTGTTTGCCTGTTTTAATTACTGTACAAAAAGGGTCTAATAATGGGCATTCCTCTTTCACGCTTTCTCATGACTGAAACAGTGTATCTGTCTTATTTAAGTTACTATGTATGCTGATATGTAGGTATTTTCCCTTCCTCATCCTGGAAAAGCAAGATACTACCCTTCCAACAAGAAGAAGGATGTCTCAGATTGGAAATCTGATATGGCATCAGTTCTCATAAGGAATTGATCTAGATTTATTTTAAAGGAAAATACTTCACAGTGAAGATCTAAAGTTGGACTCTGGATTCAGACATCACTTTTATTAACTGCAGTAGTCATTAAACAACTCAGATTAAGTCTAGAGAAACATGTATGTATAAACATGCAAACTTATTTGTATCAGAGCGAAATGTAATCCAATATATCTAGGAGTTTAAATTCCTCAATATGAAATAAAATGAGCATTTGGCCACTATCTTGTTCTTGGTTTTCACCCTATCAAACAAACCCTGGATTGAATTGCAGTCCTGAACCCTTGCTCCATTAAGAATACCCTAGCTGGTCAGCTTACTGCTGATGAGTCGAAAAGGGAGATAATCAAATCACAAAAACATTCAATCCCAGCCCTTCTGGCTGATTATGGAATAGCATCAACTAGCCTTTCTCAGTCTAAATCTGCAGCAATTAAAGCCACAAGGCAGAGACCAAAGTGGGTCTGTTGGGGCAGGGACATAGAATATAAGGGAGAGTTTCTTTAGGTATCACACTAACCAGGCATCCGACCAAAATCAAATGTCAGGCAGAATCACTTGACCATTTCTTACATCCCTCTTTCAAGTAATCACTGAATGTTCTCTTCAAGCTGATAACCCTCTTGACAGCAAGACTCCTGTTCTGATATTAGTTAACGTTATGTCAGATGTGTTGACAAATATTGCTTTCTCCAGTTTCAGGAATGAAGCAATGAAATAATCCTCCACAGAGATCTTCCTTTGGGCCTCTCAGAATGGAGCCATGTGCTTGCTCAAATCACAAAGCTAAATCTCCTTTGATTTTCTTTCCAGTGACATAACTCATCACACTGCCTTTAGCACTACTCATCCTATAGCTCACCCCTTCAAGGGATCCTTTAAATTGGCTTATGACCCAGATGTGTTTCTATCCAACATCTGAATTCAAGCCAGCAGTTCTTCCTGGCTACTATCTAAAATTCCATCTGTTTGCAATAGTGTAGCACAACCCTTGCCTTGCTTTTTACACTTTTAAAATTAGTTTCCTAATTTGTCCCTTCAGTGACTCCCTTTATTTCTGTATTCCAGAAATCTCTGCCATAAACATCCATGGGATTCATTTTCTGATGGCAGAAGTCAAAGTAGTGACAGAAACCTTCCCAGTGCTAGTTCTATATTCCTTGCAGCATCTGCAGCCTGACAAGAAATCACCCCTTAAATTATTATTATTTAAGCTCAGTCAGTTCTTAGGAAATCAAAATTGTAAGAGCCCAGTCTCAGAACACACAGACTATGATCTGTATTGCTTCTGCCAGTTCTTGCCTACCATGCTACTGTCAGGACTTATTGGCATCACTGCTGAAAAACAAGGAAAACAATGTTAACTTCAGGTTCCATTATAAACACAAAAGAATTACTCAGGGGTGTGGGAAGGAATATTTCGTTTGACTTTCACAAGAGTCAGATTGAACACATATTAAGCAGAGACAAATGTGATCTCTTCATGGAAGTTTTTAAGGGGGATATTGCAAACTGCACAGAAAGAAAAGTGTTTGAAAGTGGCTTTTAAAATATCACACACATTTTTTTAACAGTGCAGCGCATTAATAGGGTGACCACAGTTCTGTTAAAATTCACTGTATACTTGCACGTATTATTCAACTGCCACAAGAATACTCTTCCATACTTGTTTTTAGGATGAAAGGCTCTCCTAATTCTTTGTTTCTTGGGACAGAAATCCCCAGAGCAGCCAGTGAACTTGTATCATAAATGGATGACAAAAGCACATCTGACGGCAGAGGCAAAAAGTATTCTGCCAAAAAACAGTGACTGAAAAATGTATTCCCATAAAAACAAAGCTCTCTGGGTTAAAGCTACTCCAGGCATGCACAAAAGCAAATTAGCAGCATCTGTCAACCTTATGAAATGCATTTTTAGCCTAAGCCCTTAAATAAACATGACATACATTATTGTAATGTCTGTATTTTAACAATAATTTTGAAAGGTTTGGCCAGTTTAAAAAAAAATTGCAGAGTTATTAAGAGACATCAAGGATATAAAATAGCTAGATAGTTTTGTGGAAAAAAAGAAGTTAAACCAGAGAAGCCCAAATCTATGTTTCTACTGAAGAAATTACCTAATTTGCGATTAGCATTTCTTCAAAGACAGCAGTCACATAAAATGCCCCATGTATAGTCAACAAAATTCCAAACCCCATGGGTTAGCTGGTATCCAGTCAACATGGGAACCATACGCCTGAATGGTCTAGGGAACCTAAATGACCTAGGTGAGAAGAAAACTTGAGCCAGAAGTGACTTTTTTGGAGGGCTAAAAAAAAAAGTAATTAAAAAAATAAATAATCAGGAAATGCAGCAATAGAAAAGGCTGTTTTCCAAAACACTGAGGTTCTGACAACACTCAGAAGCTGCCAGAATCCGTGAATTTCAAGAAAACAGCTGAGAATTACTGACCCTGTTAGAGGGGGAAACAGATGAGCAGCACATCTCAGAAAGGAAAGAACAGAGAATGCTGAAGCCACATTGATGGACAAACTAATTAGTCAAGGAACAGCAAAAAAATTTGAGTGTGAAGAAGATGGCCCAGCCATATATATGCCAGCATGAGGACGCCATCCTGCAGGCTGACCCATGAGTCCAAGCTATGAGCAAAATATGAGTCACTTGATTGTCCTGTACCTCTCAGAACCAGACAGTAGCACATTACCTTTCTGACGTAAGAAACAGCATCTTCCTCAGTGTACACTTCTGCACTGACTCCCCCTCTCCTGCGTCGGGCCTTTACCACTGGGTTGGGAGGAGGAGGGGAAATTTCATCATCATGAGAATCAGACTGGGAACTGGATTTCTGCCGAGCCAGTATTTGTTTGCATTCTTCCTGCAAGTCAAAAAGAGACAAACATCTCTTACCCATGTAGCTAACATGCTGGATATACTCAATTTGCTCTTCTTTTATGGTCATCAGCAGCCCCTTCACTCCTACATTTGGCTGGTTGTCAATTTACACACATGTACTGCTGAAAGAAAATTAAAAATTTAATGTGAGCAGCATGAGGACTGACACTAACTACAATGCACGTACAGGTATCATCACTCCAATACTTGACCTGTTCGATTCTTTCTTACACCTAATGGAAACCAATACATTACAAACTTCAGACACATCTTTGCAGCTACTCCTGGCTGAGAAAGCAAAAGAAAAAGCCTCATTTGCTTAATTCTCCAACATCACAGCTGGGTTTTTTTTCTTAGTTGGCTTGCATGTATCTTTGTCTCTTGTACAGAGAATATATCAGAAGCCACACGTCAATATATTAGATAGATTTCTTCATCTTGCTCTTGCCTTGCAGGCTTAGTATCACCAGAAAGAACAAAGATGCTCCCTACTCCAGAACTTCTGCCATATAGCAGATTTACAATCAATGGGACTACTTCCAAGCAAGTAAGAGCCAAGGTAGGCTCCAGAGGACTATGAAAAATGACGGCTGGCCTAGCACCAGCTGGCCAATAGGGAGGTTATTCTCCAAATTTCACACTCATGAAACAGAGAATAAAATACAAAGGGGAATCCCTGAAGAGACAGTAACAAGAGCAGGAAGCAGTATAGAAAACCTTCAAGAAAGGATGGCAGAGTTGCAAGACTTTGTCAATTTATACACTTAATTGATTTCTAAAGAATTGAAACAAGTAAGATTAGTCACAGTACTTTCCTAGAGCCCCATCTCCTATTCTTCAGTTTCCTCAGATTCAAGGGAAAGCACACAGGAGTAAAGTTCCCTTTGCATCATCCACATATACCAGTTAAAGGAAATGGGGCCTGTCTGCTTGTTCCCAACCCACCTCTTTGCCCCCTGGTACCACCTCAGCCTGGCATCCTGCTCACAATACACCACACCGCCTTTCCTACTTCTTCAGTGCCTTATGAGCTGGTTCCTTCTAGTCTTCGCTGACCTTGCCTAAGGCAAAGAAGAACTGGCAATGGGATGGACCGCATGTGCTGTCCTCAGCTTGTCTGATACAGGCAACTGAAGGGCACATGCAGGAGAGACATGAACACTGTAAGAAGGCAAGCTGTCTTGTGCAGCAGTAGTCCAGTAATTTTATTTGCTGACATCTATTATGTTGCCTAGGCATAACCCACACCCTAATAGTCTCAGGGTTATGTTGATTAACACACATGTAATCAGCTATCATCTAATGACACCCTGAACAACTCCCAGGCTACCCAAAAGAAAACACAGTAATGCTGAGGTCCCTGTACACCCCATGTCATGGTTTAAGCCCAGCCAGTAACTCAGCATTGCACCAGCAACTAAGAAGGAAAAAAAATGACTGCTACTGCTTAACCCAGGACACCCCATAAAACCAACATTCCTTGGACAGGGATGCCTGAACCTGGCCTCTGTCTTACCCAGTTAATTTCTAATGAGATTTTCCAATCAGAGCTAATACATGGAATCAGTGGAAGACGGAGGATGTAGGAGCACCAGCACTAGACATGTGGTAGGTTATCAACATAGCCGGTTGGTCTCATTGACAAAGGAAATGAGTTATAGTTAACTCATCAGGTATGACACCAGAAAAGAGTGCACAGAAAACTGGCACAAGTTCACAATTTCTAAGCTTGTAAGAAAAACCTCAGTTTTGCCACTGGTGTTCACAAATGTCTGACAAATCCAGTCATGCCACTTGTCTCTTCTGGTCTTACTCTAGTTTATTTCCTCACCATCACTGACATTAACCTAAGGAGCCTTTGACACCAATCTCTGATGTATTACTGCTACTTGAAATAAATAAATAAACAGTATTTCGCATGCTGTATAATGCAAAGTAACAAGTCATATATTCTTGTTTTGATTAAGGGACTACTGAAATACGTAAGAGACAAGTACAAAGATAAAATGTAAAGGGCTGGCTAAAGATCTTACTTTTCAAGGTCCTGACCCGCTTCAAAAAGTGCCAAATTCTTCCTGAGATCAGTATGTTTTTTAAACTGGGATTACAACATTGCAGCTCCTGGGCAATAACACAGTTGAACAAGGCATTAAAAAAAACCTGATTTCAGATGTATTAAATTCTTCCTGTAACTTTTTTATTTCCAATTCAATTTCCAAATAGCAGCACAAAATACGTAGGAAATGACTCAGCGAGATTTCCCTATCGTGTAAGAACTGCAAGTCCTATTAAGCATTTTCATCAACTTCTTCCCTACTTCTTTTTACTGGGTCTAGCTTCTTTAACTACAATTATGTACTTGTAGAATCATAGAAGAGTTAGGGTTGGAAAGGACCTTAAGATCATCTAGTTCCAACACCCCTGCCATAAGCAGGGACACCACACACTAAACTATGTCAGCCAACGCTCTATCCAACCTGGCCTTGAACACTTCCAGGGTTGGAGCATTCACAACTTCCTTGGGCAACCTATTCCAGTGCCTCACCACCATCACTGTGAAGAACTTCTTCCTTATATCTAACCTAAACTTCCCCTGTTTAAGTTTAAACCCATTACCCCTTGTCCTATCACTAGAGTCCCTAATGAAGAGTCCCTCCCCAGCATCCTTGTAGGCCCCCTTCAGATACTGGAAGGTTGCTATGAGGTCTCCACGCAGTCTTCTCTTCTCCAGGCTGAACAGCCCCAACTTTCTCAGCCTGTCTTCATAAGGGAGGTGCTCCAGCCCTCTTATCATCCTTGTGGCCCTCCTCTGGACTTGCTCCAACAGCTCCATGTCCTTTTTATGTTGAGGACACCAGAACTGTACACAATACTCCAAAAGTGAGGTCTCACAAGAGCAGAGTAGAGGTGCAGGATCACCTCCTTTGACCTGCTGGTCACACTTCTTTTGATACAGCCCAGGATACGGTTGGCTTTCTGGGCTGCAAGCGCACATAAAACATTTAAAATACAAATATATGTGCTACATATTATCATTACTTAATATCATTACATATTATCATTTTGTTTAGTTATCAAAACCAAACCTCTGGCTGAAGAATTTCAAATACTATTACTGGCTATTGCCACTTACGTATCTCTGACAGTGTTAACATTCTCTGTTTATATTAAATGAACACAAGCAAATGCACATTCTTCAAAAGCTTAACTGAAAGGTAATGAAGATTCTTCTGGACAGCAAGCAGCTGAAAGTATACAAAAAGGTGACTACAACAAGAAGGCAGTTGGGTAACTATTTAATGGTACGTAGCACTTACATAGCTCTTTTTATATGTAGCATATTTACTCACAGAGAAGAGTAGTAGTTTAACCCATTTGAATATCAAATATACACTTCTTTTTCAGTACACGTTGTATAAAAGGCACTTCCAAGGAATAAATAAATAACATCTCCTCTGCCCCATGACAGATTTATACACGAAAGAAAGCTCAGTGAGATAAAATTAATATCATAAAGCATGCTCTTAAACCCAAATACTTTTTAAAGCCAAAAAGGTATTAAAGGATTATGAAAGTGAGTTACTATATGATTCATTTTAAAAGGAAGTCTCTCCACTACAAACTCTTTTTATATAAACAGCAGATAGCTGACTGGCTGGCCTTTCCATATGCCGCTGTTTGTAGTCTAGGTAGGATTTCCATTACTGAACTAAAGAATGCCTTTTGAAAATAAAAGCATAGGCTCTGACCTAGGTCAAGCTTTCAAAAAGCCTCTTCCACGTATCTGGGGTTAAAACCACACAAGTACAGCTAATGTTTTAAAGGAGGAATGGGCTCTCTGAAGAACAGATCTTCAGACACAGCTTGATGTGAACGCCTGTGGAGAACTCACTTTCAAGTAAACACCTCACCATCTTTTGTTGTCATGACAACAAGTGTTTTCACTCTCTATTCAGATGGCACAGATAATTCAGTCATGGTGCCCAATTATGTACACCTTAAAATGAGAAAACACATGGAAGATGCAACTGCAGAACAGTGTAATTGCCTCTGAGCAAGCCCTAGTGAGCATCTTGTTCCTCCCTTCACGCTAGTATCTGCACTGGCTTCAGTGGAGATGCTCCCAACTTGTAGGACATGTAGGGTGTGATCCAGTTATCCATAGCCCAGTGCCATTTTGGGTGACCTTGCTCAGCTTCCAGCTGCCAGGTGAGGAAGACATGAGTCTCAGGCTGTCCTGGGTAACATTTACCATCTCAGTGGGCACTGCACATAATTTAGGAAGTTTTAAATGGTAGAAGGGTACCACATGTGAGCCACTGACTTAAGCCTCCAGCGTCCCTGTCACAGTCAAATACACTGATGTATCAACACACACCAAAACTACAAACGAACAACACTGCATGACAGTAATTCCCCATTTCCTATACAGATCATCTAAGTCTACTTCTATTCAAACTGTCTTGCAAGTGTCCAAAAATCTATCTAAAGTGGTAAACAAAGGTGTTTTCAGGGGGAGATGGACAGTGAAACTGGAATACCATTACTGACTTCAATGATAATAAACTGGAAAGGAAAGAAACTATACCATTGTTGCCCCAAATTAAAAGAAAGTACCACCAATAAATACAACTGCAGTGACCCATTTGTGTTTAGAATGTCCACCTTCAGCTAAGATATTTGTCCTACAAAGTGCTGAGGTATAAAAGGCAGGAATTTAGCATGCTGTCCTCAGTATATGGATCACTGCATTTCCTGATTAATGTTTCCATGAGGTTCTAATGAATTTAAACACTGCAAGTGAAGTGGCCACAATGCCAAGGCAGTTTTTAGGTTTACCCTTCCTTTCAGACTGCTGCTGAAGAGCACACACGCTTCCTGACCCAGAAGCTTTTTTCTCTATCAGCCGGAGCATTTCCAAACAAAAATTCACCTCCAGTAGTTCCTCTCCTCGTCTCTCCTTTCAGGCTTTGTCACCACCCA